TCTAAAAAAAAAAAATTAAGAATGTACACACCCTTTGAGCCAGCAAACCGATGGCTAGAAATTTATTAAACAGGCGATAGTAATATGTGTTAACATTTATTGAATGTTTACCTTTTGCCAAGCCCTATCCCAAACCCTTATCCTGCTTTAATTTGTGTAATACTGTGTAACCAAGGCATGTTTATTCTCCCATAACCTGGAAGAAAATCCTTAAGGATTCCATAAATGTTTAGAAGCAGTAGTTGGTTGCCTCTGAAAAGGGAGATGTATTTTTAATATGCCATTTTTTTTACTAATTTTTGGGTTTTTTGGTTTATATTTTGTTAATTATTGGAGAAAAATAATATATGCACATACTTTTAAGCCCAGTACAAAAAATAAAAGCAGCAGCCCATTACATGGCAGGACACAGTGGCACATTCCTATAATTCCAGTGACTGAGACAGGAGAATCAAAGAGTTGAGGACAGCCTCAGCATTTTAGTGGGACCCTGTCTCAAAAAGTTTGGGGAATGTAGCTCAGTGGTAGAGCACCTCTGGATTTAATCCATAGTACCTCAAAAATAACAAAAAAATCGATACTATTCAGAAATTCTCAATGCATATATTCCTTTTTCAATCAACCCAAAATGACTTGTTACCAAAAAAATTAAAATCATTTTCAGTTTCCCAAAGGGAACAGGATACTAATTGACAAAAGACATCCTTACCCATGTGGCCTGACAGTTTTGTGGGGATAAGGGCCAGCCCAAGTTTGACCTCCTAGACCCTGATTACCCCTTTTCCTGCTAGGCATCATGTGCATGGACCACCTGGAGGAGATGCTGAAGCTAGTGGACTGCAACCCCATGATGATGAAGGATGGCAAATGGGTGGTACAGAAGTATATTGAGCGCCCCCTGCTCATCTTTGGCACCAAGTTCGACCTGAGACAGTGGTTCCTGGTGACCGACTGGAACCCACTTACTGTGTGGTTTTACCGCGATAGCTACATTCGCTTTTCCACACAGCCCTTCTCCCTAAAGAACCTGGACAAGTGAGCCCTACCACTCACCTCCCATGAACTCCCAGACTAGTTGGGGAGCTGGCAAAACAAAACAACACAACAACAACAAAAAGCAATGAAAATATGCAGTGGAATCTATGCAGCATTGCTGGGTTCCAAACACAAACTGAGCAGGCAGGCAGGACCTCTATCCATCCAAGCATCTTTCCATCCAACAGATATTTACCAAGAATGTACCCTATGCCATTCATTATTCTGGGCACTTGGGATACAACAGAAACAAATGGAGATCCCAGCTCTTAAGTGCTCATATTCTAGCAGGGAGAAACACACAAGCATTGATATAATAGGATAAAGTGCAATATGTGTTTTAAAAAAAGAAAATATAGAACAGGATTAAGGGATGTCAGTGGAAATTCCAGAGGAGAAAGGCAAGATGTGATATTAATTTGGTTGGGGTGAGAGAAAACCTTGCTGAGGCTTCAGTTCAAATTCCATCTCTGTACCTTCCAAGCTGTGAGCCTTTGTTCAAGTGAAAATCTATTTAAGAGCTGGAGATGTAGAGTCCTTGCCTAGCATTTGTAAGGCCCTGAGTTTGATCTCCAGCACCACACATACAAAAATACTTGAACCTGGCTGGGCATGGTGGCACATGCTTGTAATCCTAGCAGTTCTGGAGATTGAGACAGGAAGACTGTGAGTTTAAAGCCAGCCTCAGCAACATAGTGAGGCCCTAAGCAAGACCCTGTCTCTAAATAAAATATAAAAAAGGGCTGGGAATGTGGCTTAGTGGTTTGAGTGCCCCTGGGTTCAATCCCTGGTACCAAAAACAAACAAACAAAAACCTTAAAGCTCACTTTCCACATCTGAAGAATGGAGGAAGGTAATATGAAAGTGAAAACTGTTGATTATCAAGTGCTTCATGTGTGATAGATGCTAAGCACTTTATGTACATAGTTATTTTTCATAAAAGCCCAATGCAGTAGGTACTATCATCCCTATTTTATAGGTTCAATGACTTGCCTAAGATCTTACAGCTAGTCAATGTGAAGATGGGCTTGACTTCATCTTGACAACTACAAGGCTTTATTCTTACCTACCTGCTTATCTTCCAGGCATTGGGAGGACAATCTGAGACTAGGCACAAGCACTTAATACTGTGGCTACCATGATTGGCACCCACAAAGCCTCCTGAGAGATAAAACTAATTGTCGCTCTAGAAGAATATAAGGTCCAGGCCTTTGTCATTCTTGTCCTCCCCAGTAGGGCCCTATTTCAAGTCGAACTGACCAGCCTGGCCCAGGGCCGATGTCGAAATTTTCCTGCCCTCCCTCATTTTGGAGAGGTGGGGCAGCAGGAGCTAAGCCCCAATTTTCTTTCTTTCCTATTTTTTTGGTAACTGGGATTGAACTCAGGCACTTGACCACTAAGCCATATCCCCAGCCCTATTTTGTAATTTATTTAAACACAGGGCTCACTGAGTTGCTTAGTGCCTCACCGTTGCTGAGGCTGGCTTTGAACTCACAATTCTACTGCCTCAGCCTCCCAAGCCGCAGAGATTATAGGCATGTGCCACCGTGCCCGGCTTGAATCCCAGTTTTCTACTTTGTGTTTCAGCTCTGTGCACCTCTGCAACAACTCTATCCAGAAGCATCTGGAGAACTCCTGCCATCGCCATCCCATGCTACCCCCAGACAACATGTGGTCCAGCCAGAAGTTCCAGGCCCACCTGCAGGAGATAGGGGCACCAAATGCTTGGTCCACTGTCATCGTGCCTGGCATGAAGGCTGCTGTGATCCATGCGCTTCAGACCTCCCAAGACACAGTACAGTGTCGGAAGGCCAGCTTCGAGCTCTATGGTGCTGATTTTGTATTTGGTGAGGATTTCCAGCCCTGGTTGATTGAGATCAATGCCAGCCCCACCATGGCACCCTCCACAGCTGTCACCGCCCGGCTCTGTGCCGGTGTACAAGCAGACACCTTGCGTGTGGTCATTGACCGGCGGCTGGATCGTAACTGTGACACAGGAGCCTTTGAACTCATCTATAAGCAGGTAAGGTGGAGGTGGAGAACTCCAGGGAATGTGCCTTCTTTTCTAGGCTGCTCCAAAATGAAGCACAGGGCTCTGCAGTCAGACCAGTTCAAAACCTGGGCTTGAGGCTGGTTTTGCCAAGTTGTCCTAGTATATAACCACATCCCCTCCTCAGTTTCCTCATCTGTAAAAATAGAGATATTACCATCTTTCTCATGAGCTGAGTAAATACAATGAGTTAATTTGCCTGGATAATACTTCTAAAAGGCATGGACTCTGCGACATCCTTGGATTCAAATCCTGGATCACTAACTAAGCTGTATAACTTCAAACAAATTCCCAACCTCTAGGTGGTCTGTTTATTCATCTATAAAGCAAGAACAAAAATACTACCTAATTCATAAGATTATAAGAATTAAATAGTTAATATAAGTGAGGTACTTCAGAATAGTGCCTGGCATACAGTAAATGCTGTACAAGTTTTAGCTATTGTTATAACCTAATAAGATTGTTATTTCATGAAAAATAGCATCACTTGTAAAGTGCCTGGATTATATATAGTAAGAGTTGATTACAGGCAGCTGCTATTATTTTTAATAATCTTTTGGGAGTATTGAGGACTGAACCCAGGATCCCTTTACTACTGAGCTACTTCCCAGCTTCTTTTTTTTTAATATTTATTTTTTAGGTGTAGTTGGACACAATACCTTTATTTTATTTATTTATGTTTATGTGGTGCTGAGGATTGAACCCAGGGCCTTGAATGTGCTAGACAAGTGCTCTACCGCTGAGCTACAACCCCAGCCCAGCTCTCTATTTTATAGGATAAGGTAGGGTTCTTAAAAATTAGGACTGGAATTGGGTGTGGTGGCACACACCTGTAATCTCAGCGGCTTGGGAAGTTGACACAGGAGGATCGCAAATTCAAAGCCAGCCTCAGCAATGGTGAGGTGCTAAGCAACTCAGTGAGACCCTGTCTCTAAATAAACTACAAAACAGGACTGGGAATGTGGCTTAGTGCCTGAGTGCTCCTGAGTTCAATCCCTGGTACCCCCTCATACCCCCAAATAAAATTAGGGCTGGACAGTTCATGAGAATGAGACAAAAGGACTGTGAATTTAAAGCCAGCCTCAGCAGTTTAGTGAAGCCCTAGGCAACTCAGTGAGACCCTTTCTCTAAACAGAATGTAGAACAATCAGTTGGAAAGCTATTTTCAGTTTTTTTTTTTTTTTTTGAGCTTAGGAAGTAATTTATTTTTTTCAGTTAAGGATCTTCTGACCAGCATTCTGTTTCTGTCAAAGTTTGGTTATATACAGGAAAGGTGCTGATCCTATGAACTACCCCATTCTCTCTGGGATTATAGGCATGTGCCACTGCACCTGGCTCCAAATGTCTTTTATTGCTGATTTGTTTTTTAGGCCAGTGTGTAATCACACCCTGTACTGGTGGTTTTGTCTCTAATCTTTTTAAATCTAGGACAGCTCCACTACCCCCCCCCATCATTTTGATCTTTTGAAGGGACCAAGCTGGTTGTTTTATAGAACTGTCCTACATCCTGGATTTATCAGATTGTTTCCTTGTGGTGTCATTTACTTGGTCTTCTGTTATCTAGATGTCCTGTAAACTAGAAGTTGGGTCAAACAGCTTGAATGAGGTTCAGGTAAAATATTTTTAGCAAAAATACAACAGAGGTGACTCTGGGTACCTCTTGTGACATCACAAGGAACCTACTGTTAGAGTGTCTCATGATAGATTAATGATGCTGAATTTGACCATGGGTTAAGGTAGTGGCTACCACGTCTCTCCATTGGAAGCTCTTCCTACCTTATTAATTATATTGTGTATTAGTCCATTTTCTGTTGCTAATAACAATACCATACACAGGAAAAATTATAAAGAAAAAAGGCTCGTTTGTGCTCACAGTTCTAGATGTGCAAGATCAAGAAGCCACATTTGCTTTTTTTGGCTTTCTTGCTGGCAGTGTCCCAAGGTGGTATAAGACATCATATGTCAAGAGACAGAGGCACTGGAATGTAGTTCAGTGATACAGCACTTGCCTAAGCACATGCATAAGGTCCTTGGTTCCATTCCCAGTACCATACAAAAAAAAAAAAAGAGAGAGAGACCCTGGCGCAGCAGCGTGCACCTATAATCCCAGATAATCAGGAGGATCACAAGTTCGTGTCCAACCTCAGCAATTTAGTGAGGTCCTAAAAAAAGAGAGACAGAGAGACATGCATATGTGTCTGTGTGCCACCAACGTTTAATCATTCAGGCTCTACCCTGATGACTTTATCTAATCCTAATCACCTCCCAAAAGCCTGACCTCTAAACATCATAGTCAGATTAAGTTCCCCCCTCTTAATAACTCACTATGGTGATTATATTTCAAGACATAAACCCTTGAGGGACACTCAAAACATCCAAACATAGCACTTTGTAAGATGGTACTTTGGCTGTCTTCAACTTACCCATTTCCTGTCATACTTTCTACTTGTTTTGATATCCAGTTTTGATTCTTACCTATTAGAGTTCCAATTTCTAGTTTTATTGTTCACTCTACGTTTATTAAATGAGGTTTCTGCCAGGTGTGGAGGTGCATGCCAGTAATCCCAGAGGCTCAGGAGGCTGAGGCAGGAAGATTGTGAATTATTCAAAGCCAGCCTTAGCAATTTAGCAAGGCCCAAAGCAAGTTAACAAGACCTTGTCTCAAAATAAAACATTAAAAGGGCCAGGGATGTGGCTCAGTGGTAAAGTGCCCCTGGGTTCAATCCCTGCTACCAAAACAACAACAAAAAAGAGGTTTCTTCTGTAAAGATGACCTTTCTCCAATCACCTAGGGCTATTTGGTAGCTCAGGTTTTGCAATGGTTTTATTCATTTATTCATTTATTTCAAAACTCAGGGTATTCTACCACTGAGCTACATCTCCAGCCTTCTGCTTTTTATTTTGAGACAGGTTGGCCTCAAACTCATGATCCTCCTGCCCCAGCCTCCCGAGTAGCTGGGACTATAGGTGCACATAACCATACCAGGTGTGCTCTGCCTTCTTTATTTATTTTTATGTGGTGCTGAGGATCGAACTCAGTGCCTCACATGTGCAAGGCAAATGCTTTACCAACTGAGCTACAACCCAGCCCCAATGCTCTGCCTTCTTTAAGGCTCTTAGTTTCTGCTCCCCCGTAACTTGAGTTCATATAAGGTTCCAGGCAGTCTCTAAGCCTGCTGTCTATGTGGGTATCATAAGTCAAATTCTCTCTGTAGAGACTCTGATTGTTGGCAGTGACTTGTAGAACACAGCCACACATATTTCATCATGAACTGGGAGCACAAGGAACCTGAGAGGGCAGTAGATGTGGAGGTGTGGTTGTGGGGACTTGACTGGAATTCCCTCCTCTTCTGAGTTACTAGTCCCTGGGGCTCTGTGACTTCTTGATCCCTCTAGGATTAAGGGATCTCCCAGAGGACAGAGGTGGGCTTCCCATTTCTCAGCTCAGTTTTGATTCTTACCTATTTTATTAGAATTGCAAAAAATGCAAATTTCTAATTTTATTTTTCATTCTACATGACCAGGTGCTTCAGAGGTGAATTCTATCCATCTCTGCCCTGGGTCCTGCTGCAAGGATTCCAACACAACTGACAGGGCCTTGTCTCTTCTTCTTGTCCACAGCCTGCAGTGGAGGTGCCCCAGTATGTGGGTATCCGGCTCCTGGTGGAGGGTTCCACCATCAAGAAGCCCACGGCACTGTGTCATCGGCGGATGGGGGTCCGCCCATCACTCCCTCATCTGCTAACCCAGCAAGGCTCTGGGGAAGGCAAGGAGCTAGGGACCCCTACCCACAGGTCAGCTTCCAGGAAAGTTGCTGGGTCCAGGAGCCAGGGGCACATTGAGAAGCCAGACTCCACTGCTACCACCTCCGTCCCCGGGAAGGGGAAGAAAGGCAAGACAAAAAGTGCCACAGCCCTGCTCTGCCCCATCCCCCATAAGTGGGACCCTCCCCCAACACCAAAATGGGCTACATTGTTACCATGACCTGTGTTAGTGGGAACAGGCAGTCTCATTCCTTGAAAAGACTGCCACTGAGTATGAGGATGACCTCAATCCCTGGGTAACAGCATTCCCTCAAACACCCGTGTCCCAAAGTGATTTCTTCTGTTCTCTAAGCCCCTCAACCACTTGGATTTGCCCTACCACCAGAACCACCAATAGAAGGAAAGAACCACTACTCACAAAGTAATCTTTTAAAATATACAGCCAAGTAAGCATTGTCCTCTCCAGAGTCTGTCACCCTGCCTGGACTCAGTCCCAGGGTGCTCAGTCTCCAGAGTCCAGGCTTTTGCCACAGCAGTATTCTTCCTTTGCTTCCATGCAGAATGGCCTTTGGGGAAGAAACTAATCACTTAAATGTTCACTACCACTACCTAACCAGCTCCTTTAGTCTTCACAGCAACCTAGTGAGATAGGTGCTATCGTCCCCATTTTCCAGCCGAGGTAGCAGAAAGTTTAAGGAAGTTGCCTGAGGTTGCACAGCCCAGAAGGGGCAAAGCTGGGATGCAGACCCAGGTCTGTTGGACTCCAAACCCTGGATTCTTCCCACTGCCTCTGGAGGAGGAACCGGGAGGGCTCCACTGCCCTCACCCTGCCCCCGTCTTCCCTACCCTGTGCACATACCCTGTTGGGCAGCAGGGCAGCTGGTCAGCCTCTCTAGGCCCTCACAGCTTCCCTTGCTCCCACAGCCCCTTACCACTTCCCCAGCCTCCACGCCAAGGCACGGCTTCCTTCTTCCTGTGTGCTCCAACCCCAGGGGCGCATCCTCAGAGTGCAGCCCTGCAAACTGGTGGGCACTAAGGCCCTGTCGCCCACAGGCAAGGCCCTGATGACTATACCAACGGCCAAGGTTATGATTTCCCTTCCACCAGACTCTGACCTCAAGATGGCACCCAGCATCCCAAAACCAAGAAAGGTGGGCCTGGATCAATGACTCATACCCTGGTGGACAGTGCTGAGCACTGGGGTCAGGGCTGGAGGGCACAGGCAGAGAGCAGCTCCCAGGCTGCCCAGAGGGTGTGGGTTTGTCCCTTTCTCAGCAAGGGACCAATATCAGATAAAAGGGAAGGACTTGTCCCCCTCAAAACCCCTTCCTATACAGATTCCTGATCATCTCTCCCTTTCTCCCCCCCTTTCACACCGAGGCTGTTGCTCCCAAGCGCCTTCGAGGTCCCCAACCTGCCCGTGTCTTGTGGCCTCAGACCTTTGAAGTCGGAACTCTTCCCAGCACTCACAGGAAGGTCAAGGGCAAAGGCAAGTTGAAGGCCAGACTCTGCGACAAACCCAAGGCAGAGGCATACCCTGTGAAGAGGCTGAGCCATCCTATATCCCTGCCCCTTACTGATACATTCCAGAAGCTGAGGGGTACAGAGGTTATGAGGCTAGGGAAATCTTGCTCTGTTCTTGTGGGGCACTGCCTCTGTCCTGGATCTAGCACCAAATAAAGAGGAGCAAACGAACTGTGGAATTGTGGTAGGCTTTGGCTCCACCACTATTGGGTGAAAAACAGATGGGGTGAAGTCTCTACCCAACAGTCCAGATCAAGAGCTAGCAGCAGCCATAATTCCCACTTAGTGACAGACATGGGACTTCCTGTTCAGATACTTCCTTGGTATGTCTGAGCCTTCACTTATATATATATGAGGAAACTAAGTCTGAACAAGAAGATGTGGCTTGACCAAGATCACAAGGCAGTGAAAAGTCAGGGACACATTGCCAGACTGTGGACCACTGGGAATCCCTAGCCCCAGAGGCTGAGCTGGGCTGGCAGAATGACATCCAGTGGGCATAGAAACATTTACGATACAACACAGGGAAAAGGGTGGACCTTGCTGAAACCCCAGCCTTTCTCCAGAGGGTGTGGGTTTGTCCCTTTCTCAGCAACAGACTAATATCAGGTAAAATGAAATATCCAACAAACCACATCTGTGTGTAGAAATTTGGTATTACCTAGTCTTAATGGATTGAATGGTGGCCCCCTAAAAGATATGTCTGTCACCTGCATGTATGTCCTTAAACAGGCAAGGAGTTTTGTAATTGACGATCTTTTTTTTTTTTTTAAGAGGGTTGCTCTTTATTTATTTATTCATTTATTTTTTAAAGAGAGAGTGAGAGAGAATTTTTTTTTATTGTTGGTCGTTCAAAACATTACACAGTTCTTAATACATCATATTTCACAGTTTGATTCAAGCGGGTTATGAACTCCCAACTTTACCCAGTATGCAGATTGCTGTATCACATCAGTTACCCTTCCATTGATTGACATATTGCCTTTCTAGTGTCTTATGTATTCTGCTGTCAGTCCTATTCTTTACTATCCCCCCTCCCCTCCCTCCCCTCCCCTTTTCGAGAGAGAATTTTTAATATTTATTTTTTAGTTCTCGGCGGACACAACATCACTGAGGATCGAACCCGGGCTGCACGCATGGCAGGCGAGCGCGCTACCGCCTGAGCCACATCCCCAGCCCAATTGACGATCTTGAGATGAAAGCACCCCAGATTATCTGAGTGGTCTCTAAACCCAACAATAAACATCTTTATAAGAATCAGAAGAAATGATAAGAGATATGGGAGCCAAAAAATCCTACTTCCATTTTCTTAGATCCTGACTAGATCATAGAATTAAATTACATAAGCTATATTAACAAGAGAAAATATGCCTATAAATTTAATGTAAGTTTGACTTGGCATGGGAGCCCTTATGAATGAAGACCCAAAGAGGCACAGTCAGTTACTTATGATTCCGGCTCAGATAAAGAATAGTTGTGAAGAAGCCACTAAATTATGCAAGGAGGATTAAAAGATGGGAGTTGTTTATTTGCCATGCTTGGGATGGAACCCAGAGCCTCACACGTCCTACACAGGCACTCAACCATCGAGCTACATCCTCAGCCCTGGAGTTATTTAGAATTCTCTTGGTTTTGACATCTTAGGTATAAGTAGGGATGCTGTATATTTCTAGCACAGGGAGAGTACCTTTCATATTGGAATGGAGTTTCATCTGCTTTTAAGAAGCTGCACAAAGGTCAAATTGATGTTTTTCTATTTTGCCTAATAGGGATGGAACCCAGGGCCTATTAGGCTATGTGAGTTCTCTGCTACTGAGCTACACACACAGCCCGAAAGTGATCTCACACCTACTGCCTTTCAAGTTCCATACAGTCAATCTGCCAGGGTGGATTTTTTTTCCCCCTCCCAGCACTGGGGATTGAACCCAGAGAGAGTTGACCACTAAATGATATCCCCAGCCATTTTAACTTTTTTTATTTTTTTTTAAATTTTTATTTTTTAGTTTTTAGCAGACACAACATCTTTGTTTGTATGTAGTGCTGAGGATCGAACCCGGGCCGCACGCATGCCAGACGACCGAGCTACCACTTGAGCCACATCCCCAACCTTAACTTTTTATTTTGACAAGTAACTGGGATTATAGGCCTACACCACTGCACCTGGCCCAGGGTGGTATATTTTTTAACTCCTTCAATGACCATGTGAAACTGGGTGTGGTGGTGCCTACTTGTAACCCCAGCTACTTGGGAAGTTGAGGAAAGAGGATTACAAGTATAAGGCCTGCCTGGGCAACTGAGTGACACCCTGTCTCAGAATTTTATAGAAAGACTGGGGATATAGCTCAGTGGTAGAACATTTGCCTAGCACGTGTAAGGCCCTGGGTTCAATCTCCAGCACACACACAAAAAGAAAGACAAATTAGTATGGGATACTGAAAACCACAGAAGAATATAGGAGTGGTTCTCTCCTAGAGCTCTTCATTTTGGATTTGCCGCCTTGGTTTTGGATTTCTGGTCTCCCAAAAGGAGAAAACCCACTTCTATTTTTTTTTTTTTTTTTT